GAGGCTAGACCTCCTGCACGGTAAACACGTGTTAACCCTTTCGCGATGATGCTTGAGGGCCCGAAATCGATGCGCACGCCTCCTGAGTTTGCTGATCCTGGACTTCTGCACTGGTTTACCTGCGCGAGCCTGCAATCCGAAGTCGTGCCCTAGGTTCTTGACGCTGGCGCACACCTTGAAACTATATGCACGTAGATATTTGCCTGGCTGCGCCGCTAACTCCTTAGTAGAAGCCAGCACCTGGCAGTTCTTGCGCGAAACCACGTGCTCGAGATGCTGCAACTGCTTGCACACGTCGGGGACCGCAGCAGCTAGCGTCTGTCGAACGAAACGTGCCGAACCGATGGCTTCTAATGTTGTATCGTCTACCATGACATACAGGTGTACGCTCGGCCATCGATCACGCATGTACACTAACGAATCGCACAGCACAACACGCAGTAACGTCGTCGCAAACGAACAGCCCGCGATGATCGAGCGATTCAACCTGATAACCGACGAGACGACCTCCCTCACCTTGATCATCCTCCGCCCTCCATACACCATCAACAAAAGCCGGGCCCGTCTTAAGTCGAAACTGTGCTTCTGGCAGGACCTCCAGAGATCAGTAGCATTTCCCATAGCACTTCTCTAGATCTATCAGCGCTGAGCCCGAACTAGCCGCGATAGATTCTGCAGCTTCGGCTCGCGCCGCCTGCTGCCACACTGCACGCTCGCAACTCTTGCCCTTGCCGCCGTGCACACAGCTCAGGGCATGATTCCGCCCCCTTCGGTTGGCCTGATCTCGCCTGAGTCGGCCCAGGATGTGGATGCATGTTGCCAAAACTCCTATGGGTCGATGACCTCCGTCTGGCTACTGAAGAAAAAACCACCAAAGATACATCGCATTGTTCAGGAATCAGTAGGTGCTCTTCTATAAAGCCGAGGAACAACCCGTAGTCCGCCAAAGCCTTGTCGCTCAACAACTTCAAAACACCAGGGTTCCAACCATCAATACCGACCGCTGTGCCCTTTTTGAACCTCTTGAGAACCTCGCGGAGCTGTTCGGCCGTTGGTGGAGGGGGAGGTTCGCCCAAGGGTCGGTCCAGGTCAGAAGCCAGAAGCCGAGAAGGTTCGCCCTCGTGCCAAATATCACGCCATTCCCTAAGCAGCTGCTCGACGGTGTCCACTGGCCCCGCAGGGGCTCCTGCTGGCCCCACAGCGCCAGGGGCCCATCCTTGAGGCTCCTTGGCCCACTTGTAGACCGCACCCCCTCCAGACTCCGAAGATTGGGATACCCAGCTCCTCCACTCCTTGGTCCTCTTGCTCCTGAACCCCGCCTCTCCCTGGTCCGCCAAGCTGCGCAACGCGCGCAGCCCCGCGGAGATGCTGTCCAAGCCGACGCCCGCGGTCAGCTGCAGAGAAGAGTGAAACTGCTTCCAGCCCGGAACGTCTGCCAAACTCGGGTTCGACCAGTTAAGCCTCCAGAGTAAGTCGCGAACACCCTTGCTCCCAAGAATGCCCCTTGCTCACCAGGTAACTCAACTCCCCCAGCCAAACCTGATATCTCCTCATACTCCTCGTCTGCTTCGAACATTTCGGAAACGGTCACTTGGCGCATTCCAGCGTCGGCTTTTCCACCACCCGAAAACCCCGACTCCTCGCACAGTACTTAGGTCGATCCGGGACAGGAATGCTCAAAGTATCGCAGAGCTCGGCCTCCATGCGATCGCATAGCTGCCCATAGAAATGCTTGAAACCTTCTGCCGTCGGCGCCTCGTCGAGCGCCTCGAACGAACTGCTGATATCTGACCAGTCCTGCGGCAGCGGGACTGGCCCTATAGGCCTGTCGGAAAAGACATGGGCATCTTGATGCACGACTTAAGCTGCAAGTGCGCATCGGTTCCCAGAGACAGTCGGACAGGGAAATGAGTCTTATTCGCCGAGTCCGATAGACGTTCACACGATCTGACGACCCCGACGAGCTCATGCGAGACCACGAAGAAATCTAGCTCACGCCACGCTTTGCCCACACGACAAGTCGGCATGTTACAACTCACCACAACACCCCTCATCTTCTGAACGCTCCGAAGACTCTGAACCTCCGAGGGTAAACTGTTGAAATCCCCAGATATGACGAAGGGCTTCTGGGCCCCAAACAAGAATTCTCCCAACTGATTCATGATCTGCTGCCCTTTAGCTCCTGCAACTCCCTCGCCATCTGGAGTGTACACACTGACGACATAGAAGCCCCCCTTCACGCACCCGTTCACCCACACGATCGAGCAACGCGAGTGGAGGAGATGTCTGCGTACGTGAGGCGGTTCGCCAACTCCGATGCGCTGGCGGACCGCGATGCCGACGCCCGAGGAGATGCCCCCTTGGTCAGTCGCATCCGCTGAAGATAATTTCAATTTGGAACCTTCGCTTCTCATGGGCTGCTCATGCTGACAGACATTCTCGCGCAAAACTCTGCACTCTTGAAGGCAGAACACTGAAACGTCACTAAGCCTGCTGTCCGTTAGAATCGACTGAGCTCCTTTCCAACCTGATACATTCGCCGTGACCAAGCGCCACGGTGCACTTGAAGAGGTACTTTTTGCCGCAAGAGGCCCTTGACTGGCACTGGCGAGGCGGCCTGTGCTAAATAAAGGCCCTGCTGAGAATCCGATGTCCCTTTGCCTGAGCCAGGCCCCTTGCCGACGAGCCGCTGGGCGTGGGCGCGGACCTGGGCGGCGGTCTGGCCCTTGCCCGCGGCCCCCTTGCCGACGGCCTGCGGCGACGGCGCGCTGGGCTCAGCGGCGCCTGCGCCTCCGCCTGCTGGAGCCGCCGCGGCGGCGGCTGGCGCCTGAGCGCCCTGCTCCGCGGCCGCTGAGCCAGCCGCTCCAGCACCATCTCCAGGCTCGGCAGCTCCTGGTGGCTCCTGGCGCCGACGCTTGCCCTCGAGCCGCTTCTTGGGCTGCTCATGGTCCGCCTTGCACTGCTCCGCCTTCTGCTTGAGCTCCCCGAACATGGTGCGGGCCATCTCCGTGAACTTTGTCTTGAGCTCCTGTTCGCGCCTCTTCGCCTCCTGCTTGTCGCTCTCCTCGACGTCGACGTAGTCCGCCAGGCCGAAGAGGTCGCCCCCGCACGACAGCTCCCACTCGCCCTGCTTGCCCTCCAGCAGCGCTGACAGGGAAAGCTGCGGCAAGGGCGGGGGGGGCTGAGACCACGGGAGCCATCGTGGAGTGCAGCTCTGTGTTCGCCTCCTTGTAGATCTGCTCATGCTCCCCCAAGCGCTGGAGGATGCCTGCCACCTTGGACTGCTGGAGGGCCACCCGCGTGTGCAGGTCGTCCAGCACCGCAGTCTCCTTCTCCAGGTCGACCTCCAACTTCTTCGTGTTCTTGTGTGCCTGGTCCGCCCGCGTCTGGGGCGGGACCTCGTGCTTGTCCTTGACAGCCAGCACCTGCTGGTAGTACTCGGACATCTGCTCGTTGCCAGCCTTCCTGCCCAACTCGATGAGCTGCTTGAGCTCCGCCACTGAGACGTTGGGCAAGGGGTCCGTTCCTGCCTGCAGCAGGCCCACTGGAAGCGGCGCCAGACCTTGTCCTGCCGCAGCGTCAGCACCTCGAGCAGGCAGGCCAGGAGGATGAAACACATCATCCGCCCCCTTGCCCTTGGGCTTCGACTTGGGCTTCTTGTCCTTTCCCGTCTGCCAGTGCTTCCCGCAATGCTTGCAGTATGCCGCGTGCATAGGAGTCTTTCCACACCCGCAGAGCTCGCATCTCCAAGACGCGTCACGCCAACCATTTGACATGCCGCGACCGCAGACTTGACGAGTCTGTGAGGCTGAAAGTGGCCGAAGATGAATGGATCCTCACCCTTGGCAGGGCTTCTGATAGAGGATCGTGCGGGTCGCTGTGACCAGCTCGAGCCCCGACCCCAGGGAAGGCGAAGGCCCCAGGCAACGGCTTGAGCCAAAATGGCTTGAGCCAAACTGGCTACGGATCTCCTCCTCCTCCTCCTCCTCCTCCTCCACCACCACCCCCACCCCCTCCCCCTCCCCCCCCCCCCCCCCCCCCCCCACCTCCTCCTCCCCTCCTCCTCCTCCTCCTCCTCCTCCTCCCTCCTCCTCCTCCTCCTCCTCCTCCTCCTCCTCCTCCTCCGCCTCCGCCTCCGCCTCCGCCTCCGCCCGCCTCCGCCTCCGCCTCCGCCCGCCTCCGCCTCCGCCTCCGCCTCCGCCTCCGCCTCCTCGCTCCTCCTCCTCCTCCTCCTCCTCCTCCTCCTCCTCCTCCTCCTCCTCCTCCTCCCCCTCCTCCTCCTCCTCCTCCTCCTCCTCCTCCTCCTCCTCCTCCTCCTCCTCCTCCTCCTCCTCCTCCTCCTCACGCGGTCCTCCTTCCCCTCCTCCCTCTCTGGGAGGAACGATGGGAGAGGGACTGGCTGGGGGGAGGGGGACATCGAGCTCGAATCGGCGATACTTCGTCGACAAATCGGCGACAGGACCTCGACGCGACTGCCAACCCGCGCGTTCCTACTGGGCAGGGAAGGCTCTCGGGCCCCCGTCGGCAAAAAGTGGGTGATTCGAGGTCGGTGCGGTCCCTCCCCAAACGTTGCCCTTGACGCTTCCAGGCACCACAGATGAAGAAAAAACGCCGCAACCTTTACCCTTTCGCGCTCCGCGCGGATTTCTTGCATCCGCGCTGGACCCCCCTCCCTGGCGCGCGGAGCGCGCCAGGGGCGGCGCCGGAGGCGCCGAATCTCCCCCCCCCGAGCTCCAGGGGAAGCCCGGCCACTCCCCGTCCACGAGGCCGCCGATCCAGGTCGCACCCCGCTGCGGCCGCGGCGCCTTCCGCGGCAGCGCGTGGCGCCGCGAGCGGCGCCGCGAGCAGCGCCGCGAGCGCCGCCCGCCTCGGCGGCGCCCGCCGCGAGCCTGCGGCGCCCACCGGCGTCGGGCGGCGCCGCCCTCGGGGGCGCCGAGCGGCTCGCCGCCCGCGACCTTCGAGTGCTGAGCCTCGAGCTCGAGGCAGGCAGGCGGCTGCCCTCAGCGCCTGCCCCAGCCCGATAGCAGCACCACGGATCCCCACTCTGCGGCGAGGTGTGCGGGTGCCTCCACCGCCTGCCACAGGGCGGGTGGCACACCTGCTCCTCGATCCGCGCTCTGCCTCTCTTCCGCCCGAGGCCTCCCTCTCCTCCTCTCCCCCGCCTCCTCCCCGTAGGGAGGGGCGCCAACGCCCTCCACAACTCCGATCTTCCTACTTAACCTGAAGGCGCCCACTGCCACCATCCAGTGAAAGGGGCCCTGGGGCACACGAATGGATACACACACAAATAACAGGATTCCCCATCTTTTCCCATAGTTTCTGGGTGTTTGTCTTCCCCCCAACTTCCGATGTTCTCCCATCTTCTCCTGGGACTCGACGAGATGAATTGTGTCTGTGTGTCTTTGTCCCCTCCTGACCAGTGCTCTCGCCCCCCGCCCGCCCCCCACGCCGGAGAGGCCGCCGGCTCCTGGCCGTGGCGGTGGTGCCCGCGGAGGACCCGGCGAGGCTCCGGGCAGTGGCCCCGGGCCGCGGCGTGGCGGTGGCGGTGGACCCGTCCGGCACGCCGAGGTCGCCGGCGCCGTCGCCGCCCTGCGGGCGCCACGCCCGCCGCCGCGGCTCGAGGCTCCGCCACGAGGCGCGAGCCCGCCACCCCGGACCCCCTCGGGTCACGAAAAAATCACGGCGGGAGGTTTCTCGCCATTTTCGGCCCCAGGGGGCCCCTACCGGGCCTCGGGACCGTCAAAGAACGGCTCGGGAGGAAGAACCGGTCCTGGGGAAGGGGTCCGGACCTCTGGGGGCCGCGTCATGGAAAAATCATGACGTCGGTGGTCTGGGCAGGCAGCCAGGCGGTGCTGCCATGCGGCCATCGTGCTGCGAGTCTCGAGTCCCAAGGCACAGCGCGCCACAACGCCGGCCTGGACCCTGGTGCTGCAGTTTTTTCACAGCGGGCGTTTTCGCTGCATCTCGGGCCCCAGAGGGCCCTCACCCAGCTCGGAAAATGATGCAGAAAGATGGGGTACAGGGCTTCGGTCGTGATTTTTAGCGATGTCGCAATTTCTTTGCAACGCTGGATCTCCAATTGGGTCGGAAAATCACTGGATGAATGAACCACTGAGCCAGATCAACCAGATCAATCGGATCAACCGGCTAAACCAGATCGACTGGATCAACTGGATCAGCCGGATCAACCAAATTAACAGGAACAACCTAATCAACCAAGTCAGTCCGATCAACCGGATCAAATGCATCAACCGGATCACCGGGATCAACCGGATCAACTGGATTAGCCGGATGAACCGGATCAGCCGGATCAACCGGATCAACCGGATCAACCAGATCACCAAGATCAGCCGGACCAGCCAGGTTCACTGGATCCACCGGATCAGCTGGATCATCCAAGTCAGCCAGATCAGCTGGATCAATGAACCACGCAACCGGATCAGCCAAATCAGCTGGATCAACCGGATCACCTGGATCAGCCGGATCAGCCCGATCAACTGGATCAGCAGGATCAGCCAGGTCAACCGGGATCAACCATGTGCTCACCCAAATCAACCAGTTCAGCGGGATCAGCCAGATCAGCACAATCCAACGGATGAGCCAGCCAAACCAGATCACCGATCACCAAATCAACCCCGCCGGATCACTGGATCACCACATCAACCGCTCAGATCACCAGATCACCGGATCAGCCAGCAGCCAGATAACAAAATCACCAGATCAGCTACCCGGATCACCAAACAGATCAGCCCGCCAGGTCACCCGATCACCGGATCACGGGATCAGCCGGTTCTTCACAGGATCATCCAGATCAGCGGGATCAACTGGATCAGCCTGATCAACGGGACGGGATCAGCTGGATAACGCGGATCAACTGGATCAGCTGGATCAGCCGAATCAAGCGGACCGGATCAACGGGATCAGCCAGATCATCAAACGGAGCAACCGTATCAACCGGATCAGCCAGATCAGCTGGATCAGCCGGATCAGCTGGCTCCACCTGATCGCCTGGATCAGCCGGATCAACCGGATCAAATGGATCAACTGGATCAACTCACCGGATGAGTGAACAACACAACGGGATCAGCCAAATCAGCTGGATCAACTGGATCATGAAAATGAGACGGATCGACCGGATCAGCCTGATCAACCTGATCAACCGGATAATCCAGATCAGCCGGACCAGTTGGATCAACGGGATCCGATCAGCTGGATCAGCTGGATCAACAAAACCAGCTGGATCAGCCCGATCAGCCGTATCAGCTGGACAAGCTGGATCAACCGGATTAACCTGACCGACGGGATCATTCGAATCAGCCGGATCAACCAGATCAGCCATGTGCAGTTCACCCGGATCAGCCAATCAGCCCGGCAGCCGATTCAACTGGATCAACTGGATCAGCCAGCTGTCTCACCAAATTACCAGATCAACCCGCCAGGTCACCGGATCTCCTGGATCAGCTGGCCGGATCACCGCATGACGAGATCACCGGATCAGCCAGACAGGTCACCAGAATCAGCTGTAAACACTGGATCAGCCGGCCAGTCACCGGATCGCCGGGTCAGCCAGATCATACCAGGCACCCTCACTCAATCAGCTTGCCGAATCACTGGATCACTGGATAACAGGATCAGCCCGCTGGGTCAACTGGATGACAAGATCAGCCGGATCAGCTGGACCCATCACCGGATCACCGCGTCTTCACTGGGTCAGCGGCAGCCAAATCACTGGATCGCAGGATCCTCGGATCAGCAGGCCGGATCACCGGATCACCAGTTCACCGCGGATCATCTGGCCAGATCACCCGATCACTGAATCAGCTAGGATCACTGGATTACTGGAACACTGGATAAGCCTGCAAGGATCACCAGATCAGCTAGGTCACCGGTTAGCCGGCCGGATCAACCAAATCACAGGATCACTGCCATGGATAACCTGATCAGCTGGCTGGATCTCTGGATCACCTGAGCACCGGATCAGCCGCTCAGTCTGCCGGAAATCCGGATCACCGCATCAGCAGATCAGCCATGCAGATCAGCTGACCGCATCACCGGATCATCAGATCACAGCATCAGCAAGCCGTGCCACCAGATCACCAGATCACTGGATCAGCCGGATCAACGAATAAGCCAGCCTGATCAGCCAAATTACCAGATCACCGGATCGCAAGATCAGCCAGATCGACTGGCCAGATCACAACAACAACCAGATCAGCTTGCCAGGTCACCAAATCACCAGATCAGCCCGATCACCAAATCAGCTGGCTGGATCACCGGATCGCTGATGAATCACCAAATCTTTCGGCCAGATCACTGGATCACCAGATCACCAGTTCACCGGAGCGAGCCAACTTGAAAAAGAACAACTTCTAGTTCAGATGCACTCAGCGCCCCGTCCCATACAGGAACCCTTCCATGCAATGCATTCCGCCGTCCTTCCGCCGCATCAGAGGTCAACGAGCTCCAACCGCTGCGGCGCCCAAGACAAGGAACGAAGCTCTAGTTCTGCCCCAAGAGCGTCTGGGTGCACAACAAGGACGAGTGCCAGAGGAACAGCCGTGGCAGGACCTGAGCATCGGCGAGCCCCATATTTCAGCGGACCGACGCCCGACGATGTCTGCAGAGACTGATCTCGAGAGCGACGATCGAGACTCGGGTAAGAGCCACAGCTCCCCCAAGCTTGAACCAGCTCGAGGCGGGGGCGGGGAACACACATCTGAAAACGGCGATACTTCGCCGACAGATCGCCGATGAGGCCCCCGAAAAGGGAAACCGGCCATTGCAGGGCGGGGTGGGCAAGCAGGCCCCTGTCGGCGATGAACGTAGGGAACGGAACCCTATACACCGAGGCCTTTGTCTGGCCTCAGACTGAATCTCGCACAGGGAAGCGGATCCTGGTGTATACCGGATCCTGGTGTACACATTCTGCTCTGTTTCCCTCGGAAAGCGGGGAAAAAAGCATACACCACACCACCCCGATATCGTCCCCGACCCTCAAGAAAGTCCTGGGACTGAAAAGCCGCCCGCCACTGGTGATGTATATGCTCCAGTTTCCGAGAATGAGCGATTGGGGATCGATGCATCCCCATGAGCCTATGTCCACCTGACGTTGCCTCTGAAGGTTGCGGCAGGTCCGCGTCTGCCCGAAGGAAGCTGCAAGGCCCTGGGCCCACATACCACGAGCCGTTGGCGCCCCGCGCTGCCCCTCGGGATGCTGGGCTCCCCGCCCCGCAGCCGCGGGTACGGGTGGGCATCGGCTCGCGACACAACAACGCGAACCCCCAGCTACACTGACGCTTCGTTCAATTTCCCCTGACCCGAAGACCCGCTTGATCACTGCACGCGCTGGTCGTGCAAGTTGCTGCGCGCTTGTTGCATGCGTGAGTTGGTTGTCGTTGATCATCCTGCTCCCGCTCCCTTCAGCTATAGCTCCCTCGGGCTCCCTCCAGCTCCTCCCTCTAGCTCCCAACTCCCTAACGTGCCACGCTTCTCTATAAAACATCAGCACTGGCCTGCACATGGGCACAGCAGCACGTGCGCAAGTGGCCGCACGTACTTACGCGTGCGCTCGCGAGTGTGCATGAGCGTGCACACGGTGGTATGTGCACACGGCGGTCGCGCAAGAGCGCGGGCGTGATGTGAATAGGCAGGGCGGGCAGACCGAGCGGGCGCCGAGGAGCAGGGCAGAGGACGGGGCCTCTTGGCATGCGGGAGACTCGGGTGTTGCTACAAGTGCCTCTGGCCCAGGGTGCACCCCAGGATTTCCACGGAAGCCCCCCACGGCCTCCAGATCACCCCATCACGAGGCCCAGGGGGGCCCAAGGGCTCCAAGATGGAGCGAAAAGCTGGGGGCACCTTGGGCCAGAGGCACCTTTTTTGGCAACTCCCGGGACGCAGCATCACCAGAGGCACGGCCGGCCTCCAGGGTCAGCTTGCTGACGGGCACGCCGTCGAGGCCCGCGGAGACGCTCGGGCTGCTGCTGGAAGGGGGGGCGGGGAG